CCTCTTCAACCAAAGTTTTGTCATTCCAAACGCCAGCCCCCTCCTCTGCCGCTGGTGCCCGACGTTTTGCACTATTTTTGTGAACAGGTTTTATAGAAGAAGAAGAAGAAAAAAAAAAAAAAAAAAAAAAAAAAGCGTTTTGTACAGTGGGTTTGTATTTGATTAATATATTGAGTTCCTCTTAACTGCACTCATTGCCTCAATCTATGCAGTGGTTCGTGGTGTTCTCGGAGGGCTGGCTCGGCCCGAGCTGTTCTTTTTCTACGTAACCAAGTTTTTTAGCGTTAAGTTTTTGACAATCAGTTGATTACTTCACCCTCCCCCTGCTGTTTTACATAATTAGCGACTCATCTTGTGAGCGATACGAGGTCTCAGGGGGGCAGAGGGGGGAGCTCTGCCCTCAGGAGCCTGCGGGCAGCGGGGTTCACCGGGGCTCTGAGCGCACCGCACCGGAGACAACTGGAGATACTGGGGAGCGAGAGGGGACCACAGCGCTGGGCTGAGGAGACGGTGCCACCACCCGCCGGACCTGCTGAAGTGCCTTAACCCCGCTGGCCCCCTGCCCGCAGGCTCCTCTGACCCAGGCGGTTGCAGGCAGAGGGGAGGGGGGGCGTTTACATATTCCCAGGGTGTACGGCTCAGGGGTGCCTGCTCTGCCTCTTGTGTAACCATTTTTTGTCTATTTTGGATATTTTCTAATAAAACCAGTTAGCAGCAGCTCTGTGTCTATGTGCTATTCAGCCCCCCCAGCCTTTTCCCCAAATCGGCGCACAGGTGTGGCCATAGCAGCACTTTATTAGAGAGACCGCAGCGCGAAGAACAGCCCCAGCCTCACTGTTACTTCCACAGCTTCTTGATGGACATGTTCTTCTCGCTGTCCTTCTGCATCACCTGGGCAGGGAGGAGGAGACAGTTGGTTCCCAGCACACAGCCCCGATTTGGGTGCTAATAACCCCAGAAAACAGCCCAAATACCAATGCCTCTGTCTCCAGGCAGGCTCTGGCTGTGCACCACAGCTCGAGGAAAGGTCTCTGCCACCTCCCACAGCCTCTTCCATGTTGCTCACATGGGGACAACCCTCTCAGTGCTGTTTGTGTTTGTGAGGACAGTTTGTGTCCCCTTTTCACCTCCCGCCCCGCACTTACCTTGGCAACAGCCATTTCAAAGTCTTCCTGTGTGACGTGCACCCGCCTCTCCCTCAGCGCATACATGCCAGCTTCTGTGCACACCCCCTGCAAGGGACAGGGATGTCACCAACCGTTCCCCCTCTGCCAGCCCCGGTGTCACCACAGTCGCCCCCGGCTCACCTTCACTTCTGCACCCGATGCCCCTGGCATCAGCTCCGCGATCTTCCGCAGGTTGATGCCCCGCGTCAGGTTCATTTTCCGGGAGTGGATCTTCAGGATGTCCAGGCGGGCCTGGAGGAGAGCAGCAGCGAGAAATCACTCCCAGAGAAGGCTGGGGACATCGCACTCCCCCCAGGGAGAGGATAAGGACAACAGGGGACAGAGGGAGAGCTGGGACCCACCCTGGGACACCCCACCTACCTCCTCGTTGGGAGGGGGGAACTCAATCTTCCTGTCGATGCGGCCAGGGCGCAGCAGAGCCGAGTCCAGGATGTCGATCCGGTTTGTGGCCATTATCACCTGCACGAGGATAACAACTGTCACTATTCCGGACACCCCACTGCCACCACAGGGCTGGCAGGACCCTGCCCCGTCCCCAGGCAGGGATGACAGCCTCCTACCTTGATGTTCTTAGTGGCTTCAAAGCCATCAAGCTGGTTGAGGAGCTCCAGCATCGTGCGCTGCACCTCGCTGTCCCCACCTGAGCCCCCCTCCAGGCGGGAGGAGCCGATGGAATCGATCTCATCCATGAAGATGATGGAAGGAGCATGTTCCCGGGCCATGACAAACAGCTCCCGCACCATGCGGGCACCTGTGGGGAGAAAAGAGGGCTGAGCCGTGGCACGGCACACAGCTCAGCACAGCCACAGCACTTCCATCTGCCCTGGCCACCACAGGAAAGACCAGTCCCAAGGCCACCCAGCACCGCGAGAGCCCTCGCTGGGGCTCTGGCACAAGCAGCCGCCTCCCCCTGCGCCATTTTACCTTCGCCGATGAACTTCTGCACCAGCTCGGAGCCCGAGACACGGATGAAGGTGCAGTCGGTGTGGTGGGCCACAGCCCTGGCCAGCAAGGTCTTGCCTGTGCCGGGGGGTCCGTAGAGCAGCACGCCCTGCAACAGCCACGTGGAGACCTCAGCACCGCTGCCGGGCTGGGCTCAGCACCCCTGTCTGTGCCCAACCGGACAGGCACACCCTGACAGGAGACGTGGGGACCCCCTGAGGGCTGACAGAGGCAGCATCACAGTGGCACCACAGCAGTCCCAAACGCTGACCCTCACCACAGACCCACAGCAGCAGCACTTGCCTTGGGCTGGGCGATCCCCAGCGCCTCAAAAAGCTCAGGGTGCTTCACTGGCAGCTCAATCACTTCCTTGATCTCCTTTATCTGCTTGTCCAAGCCCCCGATCATCTCGTAAGTGGAATCTGGAACCTTCTCCACCATCATCAAAGACACAAGAGGGTCCACTTTGTTGGGCAGGATCTTGTGCAGTGTGTAGCTGTCGTTACGCAGGGCCACGCGGCAGTTCGGGGTCACCTGCAGCAAGAGCAGAGGGAAGCTCAGCACCCCTGCAGCAGCGGAGGGGGCCAGGCTGCCCCAAGGGAGCAGTTGCTCTCCAGGACACTCACGTCATTAATGTCGATGTTCTTGTCCACGTCCACCACAAACTTCCCCTCCGGGTGTACCTGGAAGGCAGCAGTTGCCACCATCAGCGTTATTTCTCTGAGAAGTACCCTGTCGTGTGGCCGATATCGACACAGGCTGCTTGGAGCCAGAGAGGTCAGCCACCGCCAAACACTCTGCAGCCCCTCCTGCCCTCAGGAAGCCCTAAGCCAGCTGCCTCCCACCAACCTGGGGAAGGTTTGGGCCTGGGAGAGCTGCTGCAGCATGCTCCTCTGGAGAAAGGTCTCTCACTTCACACCTTTTAGCTGTTACATCGCCCCAGAGCTCGTGCTCACACTTGCTCCAACCCTGGTGGGGTTAAAGGGAGGGTCTGTCTGACCCACCCCACTCACCCCTGCTCAGCCTCATACCTTGACAAGCACTTTCTTCTTGTCCATGGCTCTCACCACTTCTCCCACGTAGGAGCCCTGCTCCTGCAGCAGCTGGAGCTCCTCCCGCAGCAGGCGCACTGCAGAGAGAGAAATGTCAGCACCAGCCATAGGTACACATGCTCTGACCCACGATGGAGGGCAGCACTTGCCACAGTGGCTGGCAACTGGGCCAGGAGCCACCAGCGCAGCAGGCAGGACCAGCCCCAGACCCTGGAGCTGGCGAGGAAGATGAGAGGAACCAAGCCATACCTTTAGCGTTCAACTCATTTCTCTGCGCTTGCAGACGCCGCAGATTCTGGCTCTTCTCATTCACAATGAGCTGTTGGGAGAAAAGATTTGCTAAGTCCTCTGCATCCCACGCAGCACTTGCATCAACTGAGCACAGGCACCAGCACCAGCATTTGTCTTGGGACAGAGACTTGGAGGGGGACAGCCCTTCCCAGCAGGACATGGCCAACCAAACTGCACTGCCAAGGGCTGGGCAACACGTCACACAAACACAGCAGCACTGTCAGCTCATAGGAGTGAGGCTCATCTTGTACACCCACCAGAATCCAAAGTTTGGGTCCTGCTTGTAGATCCCACCCTGGGGCACTGCTTCCTCCCTGCAACCCAGACCAGGGCACCCGCAGCACAGAAAAGGCTGTGGATGCTCTTGAAGCAAGCACAGGCATAGGGACATGGTCACACAGCTCTGGCTGGAATCACAGCAATGCCATTCTGGGGCTGGACATCTCCTGTGTAGCCAGGACTGGCTCACCTGCAGCTCCTCGATCTTGGACAGGTAGTACTGCCGGAGCCCTGTGCCTCCTTTCCCATCATCCATCTCCATCTGTGAGAAAGCAGAGCTCAGCAGCACCGGCCTTAGCCCCCAGGGCCACCCATTCCACCTGGCCCGTTCCCCCGCCCGGGTCCCACCGTCCCCACCTCCTCCATACCCCCTCCCAGACCCTCGTCCCGCACCCCCCAAGGGATGCCCCAGGCCCCGGTCGGTCCCCGCCCTCTGGGGGAGGCTGAGGCGAGACCAGCCGAGCCACGGCGCCCCCCAG